CTATGATCTTTTTTTTCTCACAAAACATATGCATATTCAAAGAAGCTAGTCTAAAATACTAACGAAGAAACATTCCCAGATACCTCGCTCCGATTTCGTTCGTTCCTACATCATTCGATAGGGGACCTCTAGTAGGTAAAAAACCTGAAAGGGTTTCGGCCGACGGCTTTTCCTTCGGGAGTTACGACCAGTGTTCTGACTTTCCCAGCGAAAACTAGCATAAAAAGAAAATTCATAACCCCGTCCAGAAAACTCACAGCCAACTGAAATTTTGTTTTAGGTGGTAGTCTTAAGGGTTTCCTATTTACCCTGAACGTTTCACACTTCTATCACTCTCTCTTCCCGAGTTATAGAACTTTTCTATCATTAACGAAAATCCTGTCAGTTTCTTCTAAAAAGCAGTGGGAGGTTTTGTCCGCTAATTTTTTTGCAAACGTCCAATTGATGAGATAATGAGGTAGTTGGCTGCTCATCCGGCGATTAATATCGTGAGTGAGCGTTGTCTCCCTCCTGCCGCACAGAGGCCTCCAACTTCAAGAAGGGCTTTTGCCTTTTTCTGACAGGACTTTCCTTAATGATAGAAAAGTTCTATAACTCGGGAAGAGAGAGTGATAGAAGTGTGAAACGTTCAGGGTATATAGGAAACCCCTAAGACTACCACCTAAAACAAAATTACAGCTGTCTATCAGTTTTCTGGACGGAGTTATGAATTTTTCTTTTTATGCTAGTTTTTGCTGGGAAAGTCAGAAAACTGGTCGTAACTTCCAAAGGAAAAGCCGTCGGCCGAAATTTTTACTTGCTAGAGGTCCCCTATCGAATGATGTATGAACGAACAAAATCGGATAGAGGCACCTGGAATTCCTCGTTAGTACTATGAAGAATAGTATAATGTATGTGCGACGGACTATTAAGAGAATAACACGAATAAGTGAGACACAAGTATATAACCAGAAAAGAAGAAATAGACGGAAAGCAAAACACAAAAGAAGAGAACACCCTCAGCTGATATCTGTTAAGTTAAAAGATTCTTTTTTTGTTTTGTTTTTATCCCCTGTGATCTTGTTCGAAATTTTGCAAGAACATGCTAGCTGCTTCGTTTCATTCGATACAATGGCGTTCGTTGACCGCTGATTGTAGTCGGTTTTACTGTAATCAACAGTGCTATTAGAAACATCTTGTGGTGCACTATTATTCTCTACCTAGTCTTCGCTCTTAGTAGATGGATGTTTGTTTTCTTTTAATCCTGTTGGCGGTGAAAGCGATTTTATTTTAAAAATTAGCGGACAAAACCTCCCACTGCTTTTTAGAAGAAACTGACAGGATTTTCGTTAATGATAGAAAAGTTCTATAACTCGATAGCCCTTTTCAAGGGCTACATTCTAGACTATTTGTTTTTGAAAAACGAGCAACTTCAATTTTTCACCTAATGTCCGGCTAGATGCCCACTATGCGTCAAAGAGGAATATTAAATACAAGTGTTTGTTCAGCCTCTTATTCAGTATCGAATGCCGGACCTCACAACTTTACAGCACTTGGCTGAGTCGCGTTACTTAAGTTTTCAAAATTTGAACTTTGGGCTAGAAACTCGATTCTCTTCTCAAAATGCAAGCCGTTCAGTTGCGGAGACGATAGTAGTCTACAAAAAGTTTTAAGCTCAAAAGATCTTTACTTCGAAAGAAAGTCTTTCAATGAGTATTGGTAATTCAAAGGCTGATGTTTCAAATGTTGGCTTTTTGGTATTTTATCTCCGTAGGCGTTAGACTAGATTAACTTTCTCATGTAATGCACAATTCTATATACACCTTCTATGTAAGAAAACATAGAGGTGCATGTGAATATGGCTGATAAATTTCGCAATAGAAAGAAACCTTAAAACCCATAGTACCACCTACCTTCATAGTTGAAACGTTTAACTGACTAACAGAAACAAGAATACTTGGTCTTGTCATATGCAGAAAGCGAAAAGATATTCATATGGGTGTATCAGAATTCATTAAACATCTATCGCATCTTCTATTATTTTATCTTTTTGATCTATTTAGTCATCAATATAGCAAAACTTCATTGTTCTAAACAGTTATTCACATGTAGTGCATGTAGTCAAAAGAAGAACGAAAAAGACAATGGAAGTAGTAAAATTCTTAGCTTTACACGAAGATAAGTCATCCTTTGTGAATAACCGTCACGAACGATGAATTTTTCTTATATCGATGATTAAATAAATCAAGACGATAAAATAAAAGAAGATGCGATATATGCTACATGTCTATTAACACAAACTATAAGTATACATATGGCTAGTCTTATATTTATTGCAATTCTTCTCGCAAACGCTCTAGTCTATAGTTTTATTTATGTTGTAGACGCATGGTATATTTTTAGACTGGTTGAAACAAGAAAGTACGGCCCATTTTTTCGTCTACTGTAGTAAAATCAAAAGTGAATTGGGCTTATAGAACAACGTGTATAGAAGGAAAATTTATAGAAAATTTTTATTTATTTTTATTCGCTTTGTCGGCATGTATAAATATGAGCGAAGAAAACGATTTTCCATCATCAATAGCTTCAACTAGTTACTGGGTAGTACATACATCAAACCTAGTTCTAGACACAGTATAGTCCATGATCATTACTCTTTAAAACTTCAAAACGTAATTCACTACATATTTGACGTCAGTTCTTCATTATAAAACATTCTCACATAATAGAATCAAGACATTTAAATTAAAACAACCCAAATTCATTTCAAAAGTGAAAAAATGTCTCGAAATTATGTTAATCTGGCTGACTATTTATCAATGCCAGTGCCGACACGTTCAGCAATAGTAAGTACCTTCGTTTAATAACCTAAGAAAAGAGGTTCTCGTCCCGTTCACGAGTTACCATTCTCTAATTAAAGGGTAAAATCAGCTCAGTGGTTAGATTTTCAGCAGAAGCCAAATCAGCTTTCATCACCTACATACGTTCACTGGCTGAGGAGATCCTCTTTAAAAGTGTACGCTTGTAATAATTCCGGTGTTGTATGGTGCATATGGAGTTTTACGTTTATTAGAAGTTCTGTGACCATTTCGATACTAACTTCAGAAGAGAATCTATATATTTTCTCTTTGTTGGTGCCGATATGACTAATTACCTGTATATGTATTCTTCTGTTTTGGGGAAAATCAGTCATATAGTCAGACAGTATCTTTCTTTATCTATGTTCTTCTTCTCTCTCTACTCTATACATAACACTCACACGGTTTCACACGCACAATACCTGCCTGCTATTTAGACGTGTTCTCTTCGTCGATGTTCATCTCTGTCTTTTCAACCGTATAAAGACGAAATTTTTTTTGAAACTTTCACATACAATTCGTTTATTTAAACAACTTCACTTTGACTCCTTTTTCAAGTATGGCAATAGACACTTCACCTGAGAGAGTAAGTAATTATGTATAAGTATGCATAAAGGTGTGTTTTTCCTGCTATGTATTAGTGCCACTACGTTATCTATTGTAATTTCTGTAACGGTGCTCCTAAATTGCGTTAACTTTAATTTAGAAAAATGCATTAGCTGTACAAGTAACAAAATTACATATTCAAATAAAACAGTTAATCGAAACGAACGCTTATCCTCTGACCGAACATATTCACAACGAAATTACTGGCAAAAAATCCCAACTGGATGAATTAGCAGCTGAATGGGAACGCTTATCCAGAGCTGATGGAACATTTCATTAATAACGATAATATTCTTTTGTTTGACAAACAATAATTCTTTATTCTTTCGTGGTTTCTTTTGTACAAGTGCGTAGATAAGGCTAATAAATATCATGTTCAATGCTGTGTAGATAAGTTTTTAGTTGATACCATGAAGAGAGAGTGAGAAAAAGGATAGGAAAATGAAAGGAAATAGAAGAAATATTTCATCACCATGACTAGCTAAGCCGGTTAAGAAGTTTATTGCCACGATTGAAATCTCAACGGACGATACGAGAAAAAAGATGTAATCCTCTCAATGGCAACTGTTTATCACTATGTTTGTACTTTAAAGAAAGAAAAGGTTTCTTTCTATTGCGAAATTTATCAGCCATATCCACGTGCACCTCTATATTTTCTTACATAGAAGGTATATATGGAATAGGTCCATTACATGTGTAGTTCAAACGCCTTTTAATGCCATATACTGTTTTTTATGTCGTCGATTCTTGTAAACTCCATTTAATTTATTTTTTATGTTATTTTCAACTTTAGCGAACGTGAATTTCGACAGACAATAACGGTCAGAAATTTAGTTTTCAGAACAAATGTTTAAGGGGGGGCCCCCCCTCAGGAAAGTCGATTTTTCGATTTATACATATCCTGATAGGCCTTGTAACGGACTACAAGCTAGCATGGTTCTTTTCCGCAAAACATGTAGATTAGGTTTTTTCTAGGGAGGTTTTTTCTGATGATGTAATGATGAGTACTAAAGAGTGTTACATAATAACTGACGATATACTGTTATTGATATTTTTCATACTTTTGTTTACCCGACAGAGTTGAAATTTTTATGACATGTGTAACCAATTGTGGACTTTTAATCCCAAAAGTTTCAGCTGTATAGCTAGCATTAATGGTAAGATATATCGGTCAAGCTGAGATACACAAATACTCGTACCTAACTTTTTCTGAAAATGAGTAAGAAAAACAAGTTAGGAAAATTATGTATTTCAAATAGATCGATACACTTCATCACAATTGCTAGCTATAGAGCTGAAACTTTCAGAACTAAAAGGTCTTGACTAGTTACATATGCCATAAAAATCTCAACTCTTTTGGTCGAACAGAAGTATGAGAACTATCATTATTACCATCCTCAAATCTGATAAATTAGTCTTTATGAGTTTGTATAGTATGAAAATTTTTTCAGCTTGCTAACATGATAATTAATTTGATATAGGATTCGATGACGGTAAAGTAAATCTTTTTTTAATTTGC